ATTCTCAAAATTTGGCTTCGTGCATTTTGAGGGCACCACGGTTGTGAAGTTACTTTGAGAAACTCTTATTACTCCATTCCATACACACGCTGCCCCTATTTTGCAGAGACCACTAAAACATGAGTTGAAAATGGCAAAACTCAAAACTCCTGTGGAGTAAATAAATTAATACAGTGATTCCTTGGTATTCAACTCATTGAATTTGTGAAAATGTCCTGGTACTCAACACACAAGCTAGAATTGTTCAGTTCTTGTGACTCACTACATCATTCCTTATGGGGGAAAATTGTTTGGTACTCATCTTTTTGGTACTCATCGTGCCTCCCAGAATCAAATAACGATGAGTACTGTGTACTGAGGTACCAACTGTATCTTTTACTTGTTTTGGCAAGTTTCTTCATTAATTAGGCAGATCACAGTACAATCTCTATTCTAATGTAATTATCATGCCAACAAACTGGAAACTATATTTTAGTTTCTAATTAAGAGATCAGTACAATCTTTACCACAGTCTTAAATATACTTGTTAATAGTATTTTCTATGTTGAAGAAAACCCTAAATCATGTGGAGGTTGGTGATTTAACAAACCATTCTCAAGGATACAGTACATACTTTCAAGGGGTAATTAAAGGAGCAGGATACTTCCTTTAATGGAATAGAAAATGCTCATTCACTTATCTATGGTTCCAGCCCATCACCTCAAACTTTGTTCTATCTTAACTTTCAATCTTAAATAGAAGCCATCTGTGCATATCGTATATATTCAAAGAAAGTATGTATTTGCAATACAGGTAGTCCTCGACATATGTTCACAATTGAGCCCAAAATTTCTCTTGCTAAGCAAGGAAGTTGGTAAGTGAGTTTTGCCCCATTTTATGTCCTTTCTTGCCACGGTTGTTAATTGAATCACTGCAGTTGTTAAGTGAATCTGGCTTCCCCACTGACGTTACTTATCAAAAGGTGCAATGACAATAAAATAAACTAACTAAGGTCGCAAAACATGGTCACATCACCCTGGGATTCTGCAATTGTCATAAATACATGCCAGTTGCCAAGTGTCTGAATTTTGATCACATAACTATGGGGCATTGCAACAGCCGGGTGAAAAACAGTCATAAGTCACTTTTTTCAGTGCTGTCATAACTTAATTATGGTCACTAAGCGAACTGTTGTAAGTTGAGGGCTACCTGTAGGACTACTTATTTATTTTAGTTTTATGTCTTAAACCAGGGGTCAGCAACCCGTGGCTCTGGAGCCACATGTGGCTCTTTCATCCCTCTGCTGCGACTCCCTGTTGCTGGTCAGCTCCACAATTGATAGGGCTTTCGGTTAGGACAGGTAGAGGAAAAAGGATGCTGCGCTAGGAGGAGACTCTATGGTAGGGGAACCGGACTTTTAGTCAGCAGAGGAAAAAGGATGCTGCGCTAGGAGGAGACTATGATGGGGGAACTGGACTTCCGGTCGGCTCCAGAATTGAACAGGGGCTTCCTGTTAGGACCTTTGTGGCTCTTTAAGTGTTTAAGGTTGCTGACCCCTGTCTTAAACCAATTTTTCTCAACTTTGGTGGCTTTCAGATGTGAGGACCAGGTCTGGGAAGTTGAAAAACATCCTGAAAAAATTGGCCAACGATGTCTGGACTGCTGCCAGCAAAACAATGTGGATATTATCCATGAAACTGCCAGGAATCCATTTAGGCTCAGAGGAGGTTTTACCTTTTAAAAATAACTTTGCGATCATGCATTTAAGCCTTTCTAAATGGAGCAAGTGCTATTTGTATTATGGCATTTGGGTTAGCGCTTTTTCTGCCTCCCTCTTCCAAATAAATCAAAACCAGTTTATAAAGAAAGATCCTAATAATTTATTGCACCATCTGTGTGGATTTGAATTCATTAGAAAACATGAAAAAAGGACAATAGTAGTGAAAGCAAAATGAAACCACATTAAAAGTCTGCTGGCCATCAAGACGTTTCAACAAAGCCTCCAAGACATTGCAAGGGCTCGGAAGCAGTCTAGCTGGAACAGACATTGGTGTCTTCTTCACCTGCCTGCCTGTTTTTCTTATTTCTTCCAATAGAACAGTGTATGAGTGGACAGTAAGTATCTAACTAGAGTCTGGCTTTGCAGACTGGTGGCGGCAGCAGATGTGGCGGACGGAATGGTTCTGTGTAAGCAGTGAGCATGTGCGAGTGCCTGCCACCCACCACCTGGGTGGCCCAGTTCCAAGCAGGCCACGGACTGGTAATGAGTTGCAGCCCGGGATTAGAGACCCCTGTTCTAATGTCTTTATTGTTCTTCTTCGATAGTCCAAAATGGTTTCTATAGTTTTTCTTACACAGAACACAAAGTGGTTTAGAATATAATCCTGGATGGATGGATGGATGGATATGATATAGATAGATAGATAAATACATATACATAGATGACAGACAGACAGACAGACACCATGTTTTCCTGAAAATAAGACCCTGTCTTATATTTTTTTGAACCCTGAAATATGCGCTTGGCCTTATTGCCATGCACTCAAAAGCCCGATTGAGCTTATTATCAGGGGATGTCTTATTTTTGGGGAAACAGGATAGATAAGATAGATAGATAGATAGATAGATAGATAGATAGATAGATAGATGGATGGATGGATGGATGGATGGATGGATGGATGGATGGATGGATGGATGATAATGATATGGATGGATGGATGGATGGATGGATGGATGGATGGATGGATGGGATAGATAGATAGATAGATAGATAGATAGATAGATAGATAGATAGATAGGCAGGCTTATATGAAGTACCTAAATAAATGTAAATGATAGCATTCTCAAAATTGTTGTCTTTTAGATATGTTAAGGCCCCACTCCTTTCCATTCAATCATGTCTAATTCTTCGACACTGCCTGGCCAAATCCCTGTAGTTTTCTTGGCAAGGTTTTTCAGAAGTGGTTTACTATTGTCTCCTTCTTGAGAGAAAGAGATTGGCCCAAGGTCACCCAGTGGGTTTTGTGCCCAAAACAGTACTAAAATTCACAGTCTCCAGGTTTCTAGGTTTATGCCTTAACCACTACACCAAACTGTCTCTCTTGCATTAAGCCTACAATTCTCAAAATTCCAAACATGACCAATTCATATGACAAGGAATTTGGGGAGCTGAAACATATGGGAAAGCCATCTTTTGGCCCAAATCCTATGGACATCCTGGATAATATAATCAGCAAGTTGATAAAGAACACTAATATTACATTGAGTGTTGCATGACTTAGTTACATAGCATTTTCAGATACTTTTATGCAAGAAAAATAAATCTGTTATGTGCCCATTTCAGGTTCAAATCAATGCGACAGTTAATGGGATTTGTGAAGTCAATCAATGATAATGTATCCATACAAATTTTTATGGGACAAAAGCTCTATCGTTTTTCTATCCTATTGATAAACCATGCAGAACTCAATTACTCAAAAATGTTACTTTAGTTACCTAGTTTGGTATCATTCAAGTATTAGGCAATACAACTTCCTCAGAAAAGTATTGTGAAACATTTGGAGGGAAATCAAATACTGCAGAGAATCAAGAAATGATTTTATCCATTTTTTAAAATTTGGATTTATACATCTTTCTATCCAAATTTACCCAAAGGGGCTAAGAAAAAAAAAAAAAGCAACATAATTACGCGTTTTTGAAAGCGTAGGTTTTTCATTGGCCTGAAAGTGCATATTATTCATATTTAGTAAGCAAATAGTAAGAAGGCAAAAACTTTCTTGCCAGAAGTTTCTAATGTGAGCAAAAGGTTAATGGAAAAATGCTACTGCCACGTCCCCCAAGTCACGTCCTGCAATGGACACTTGGCTTCAAAATTCTTTCTTAGCCAAGTCTGAAAAAGTACAACCCAACAAGAATAGGTTAACCTACTACGTAAGACTATTCTTTTTTATGACCTCTTCCACCCATACCCCCCACTTTGTTCCTTATTTGCAAGATGATCTATTTTCAGTACCCCACAGAGAAAAAAAGATTTCAGCATAGGAACTTCTGCAAATATTAGTCCAATGCCTTTTCTAGAAGGTGCATTTCATCTATTTATTTATATTTTTTAAAGGAATCAAATTACTACACTGACTTGGCTATAACCTCAAAAAGCAAAGTCTTTGAGATCTAGTTAAACTACAGGATTTTTTTTTTCAACGTGGTTTTTTTTCCTCCTCTCCCCAGCCTCGCATCCATCCTGAAACGAGGGCAATGCCAATAATAAAATAATCCAACTCTTTTTTCCCCCCCCAGTCAATCTTTAAAATGAGATTTGGAGATTCTATCTAGGAAGGATCAGATTTCTTCCCACGGGGCACTTTTTTTCCGGGACAGCGAAGAACTTTCTCAAAGTGCTGCCTTAGAGGAGCAAAGTTGGAACATATTTATAAAGGATCCCCCGTCCACGTCAGCCACAGATGTCTCCGCTCCTTTCGGAGAGCATAAAGGGAGAAAAGAAATCTCTTGCTTGCACTCGACAAGAGTGGACAAGTCGGGGAGTTTATTCCCAAGGAAACGATCCCTCGAGGGCTCGCATGCTCCTCGGCTGTACGAAGGGGGTTCACGAAGGGGGAGAAAAAAAATCGATCTGGGGGATCAGGAGGAAACCATGGTCCCCAAATCGGTCCCATCGATCGATCAACTCCGGATGCACCAGATCTCCCATTTAGGGAGCTCAGCAAAAAAAAAAAAGAGAGAGAAGCGAAAGAGCTCGAGGGCATCAGAGCAAAGGAAAGCGCTTAACTTAATGCACAAGAATGGGGGGGGAAAAAGGCTTGACACGCGATGCAGCATCCCCAAAGGGAAGTTTCACGCCCAGGCGAGCATTCAGACGTGCGCTCGTCCCGCATCTAACTTGGGTTTCCCCGCAGGGAACAAAAGACGAGGAGCTTTCGCCCTACGGGGGAGAAGCCAACGGAAGCCTTGCTCATCCAAGCAGGGAATAAAGCGGAGTCGAGCCTGCCAGCGCAGCCACCTACCTCGGAGATGAGCCCGCCGCTCGATCTGTCGCCGATCGCTCCCAAGCAGGCCCCTTTCGGAATGCTTCTCTCGACTTAGCCCCGCCCACACCAGCCTTCGGGGGCGTTCCTCGGAACGCGGCGGCGGCGGCGGGAGCGCTACGTGAGATGGGTCACACACAGGCGGGCGAACGGGCCCGGGACTGCGCAGGCGCCAGCGACGCCTCGCTGGTCCCCGGCCTGCTGTGAAGAAACGTGCGAGACGAGGAGCGGATGAAGAGGGGGGAAAGGGGGGGGAGTGTTGAAAGGAGATTAGGGTGGGTTGGGGTTCCCTGTAGGCGAATTGGGAAGCGACTACTGAGAGAGGGGTTAGAATTTGGAGGATGGGACGGGATTCCCGAGCATCATCCAGTCCACTGTTTCCCGAAGTTGGCAACCTTGAGAAGGGTGGACTTCAACTCCCAGAATTCCCCAGCTAGCCATACAAGGCTGGGGGAATTCTGGGAGTTGAAGTCTACCCGGCTCAATAAGTTGTCAGTCAGGTCCAGCCCTTTGCAATGTGTTTGACAAATCCATTAAAGCATGAGAATTATAACTTTTTTTTTTAAGTTTAAAAATACATTTAAAAAAAAATACAAACTAAGAAAAAGATAGTTTAAAAAATTGAAAAGTGTTGAGGAAGAAAGGGAGAAGTAAGAAAAATGTAAAAAAAAAGTATTTTTTAAAAATGACTTCTGCTTGTATCAAGACAGGTACAAACAATTTCAGAAATTTTTACCATTTCAACTAAAGACCTTTTTTTCCCTATATCTGATATGTATAAACACATTAGAAAGAGACAGCATTCAATCTTAATCAACAAAAGTCCATTAAGGGTTTCTCAACCTTGGTGGCTTAACCATGGGTAGAATTGGTGGCTGGTGAATTCTGGGATACAGAATTGTAGAAGAACAGTTGTAGAAGAAGAGCAGGCAGAGTTGGAAGGTGGAGTAAAACATGTCAGTAGTTGGTCATTGCACTACCACAAGTGGCTCAAGTGCACCCCACCCCCTCTGTGAATTTCATTGATTTTTATCTAGTACCAATCTAACACTGACCATTAGATTTTTCTAGTCAACAATAAACTCTTCTGTGCTTTGAACTCAGTGAATGCTTCTGGTTATTTGCTCCTGACAACATCCGTCTTTAAGCCACCAAGGTTGTCACAGCATCTCATGGTCACTTGATTACCATTTTGGGTGCTTTGCAACCAACACACGTTTACCACCATCACAGTGTCCCGTGGTCATATGATCACCATTTGCATGCTTCATAACCAGCTTTTAATTAACCAAAATTAATGGAAATTGTGGAAGTGAAATTGCAAATTGCAGTCATATGACTTCTCGCTCAATGACCATGGTGAGTCACAACGGAAGAGGAAATGATGTTGTAAGTCTGGCATTGTCACATGATATCTCACTTAGTGTCTGCAGCACTTAGCGATGGAATTAACTTGTCCCAATTGTAGTTGATAACTGAGAACTATCTGTACCGTATTGGGTATCATCTTCTATGCGATGTGTAGATTAGTTCAAACATCCATCTATTCCTAGGTTTATGATGCCTTTCCATGTGCAAGAACATCTGATTATTTTGCTGTAATTGTGATTTGCAATTATTATTTGGAATCTTTGTTTTACCCTGTTGGTTAACTTATAACAACTGGTAATTTATTTTTTATTTTGACACACATCTTTAAAAAAATGCTTATCATGTTTGCTATCATTTATGTTTGATTTTATAGCCTTCTTCCTTCCCAAGTATTATTAAATGGGTTATAATCAACTAATGATATTTTACTCTCTCTCTTTTCTGGTAATTAAAGACCCATGGGTTATTTTCCAATCTGAAAGGGTCCCTCCTTGTAACATTTAGGCAATTACATCACTTAGAATGGGTACATGTCACTTAGAATTTCTGATAGCTTCTTTGTTTTAGTGGGCCCATGCAAAATATTTCACTATTTTAATTTGTGCAACCAATGCAATCCTGTTTTTCAGATGTTGCTTCTTGGCATTATACTTAATCATAAAAAAGTCATCAGCCTTTAGGATGAAGAACAAACATTTGCAAGTTGGCATTTCTTGAAGAAAGATCCACAATATCTTAAGTTGTAGGAGACCTTTGTCATCCTTAACACATACAAAAGGACAAAAGGTGGGAGAATTCTATCCTGGTCCCAAATTCAAAGTGACCTGATTTGCAGTAGGGCCAATTGGAAGCAAAACACAAGAAATTTGCTGACTCGCAATCTAAAAGACAGAAGTGCCATTCTAGTCAACGTATTTTGTTTCATAATTATAAAGATTTCTTATTTCATATTTGCATTTCTTGTATACAGATAGAAAGAACAGGATATCTTCCCAAATAGACCAGATAGAAAACACGACCAGGTGAGCTAATTCTACTATTAATAAAGGCTACATTAATAGAATCTTGCAAGTCTGAAAATATATTTCTCTTGCTGTCCCCTTTGTAACCTGAGAACTTGGGGGGGGTCCCCTTCTGAGCTACTTTCTCTGCCCATTATATAGCTATGTTCTCTCTTAACTGACATTCCCTACGCAGCATCTTTTCATCCCCACCATTCCATCTTCCAAGGTCATTCCCAAATACTATCACATCAACCAATATCAGGAAGGAGAAGTAAATTTCATAAATACAAGGCATTGTATTCAGTATATACGCATGGCATATTTCATAAGAAGATAAATGTACCATTAAATCCCTAATATTATACAGACACTGGCCATAGTTATAAACTGCCAACTGGAATATTGCAGGTGCTTTGTTTAAAGCACTATAAAATGATTTGTTTAAGATTCAAAATAATATCTGATCTGGAGAAATTATGCTTGGCCAGTACCGATAGTTCTCGACTTACGACCACAATTAAGCCCAAAATTTCTGTTGCTAAGCAGGACAGCTGCTAAGTGAATATTGCCCCATTTAACAACCTTTCTTAACAGCAGTTATTAAGCGAATCACTGCAGTTCAGTGGTGGGTTGCCCCCGGTTTGCACCGGTTCTATAGAACCGATAGTAAAACTGGTAGGAGGCCCGCACACTGACCCCGATGTCATCAAAACGCTTCTGCGCATGCGCAGAAGAGCGCACGTGCAGTGTTGTGGCCCGTCAGCGGCCTGTGCATCTAGTAGCTGATTCTGACAACGAGAAGGCTGGTGTGATGCATCAGCAGCTGTTCAGCTGGCACTCCAGTCAGACAATGAGGAGGCTGGAGAAGATGTGGTGCCAGAGGCGGGGATTCAGCCAGAACCTTCAGAACCTCCAGAAGCTCCCATAAGTGAAGAGGAAGAAGAGGAGGAGTGCGCAGAGCTGCCGAAAGGCAGGAGTGGCTCCTCAGGAGGATGTCTTCTTGAGAGTTAGGCTTGGAGCTAATTGGCCACTCCCCTAGCCTATTTAAGGAAGGATGACGACTGGAATTGCAGGAAACAGCTTGGTTCATATTCCTTTGCGTCTTGATTCCAGAAACGTCTGATCGGCTCTTGCTCCTTTCTTGTCAGTTTTCCTGCAAATTGCTTCTGGGCATTCTGCCAAACACAGTAAGATTACAATTATCTGAAATGACTGTGCTTCAGAATTGAGTTATTATTCTTTGGATTCTTGTCGGCTGTTAATGAAGTTAAATTAACAGCTCTTGTTCAGAAAAGATTGATTTAAACTGTACTTGTGTTCGAACAACTACTAAGAAAACTCATTAGTAGTCCTTAATTAGTAAACTAAGGTTTGTACGGATTTTGTGTGTGCTGCGTTCTTTGGGGTCTGTAGCTGGGGCAGAACACATGGCCCTGCTGTGAACCGGTAGTGAAGGTAAGTAGAACCCACCCCTGCTGCAGTTGTTAAGTTAGTAACACAGTTGTTAAGTGAATCTGGCTTCCCCATTTACATTGCATGTCAGAAAGTTGAAAAAGGTGATCATTTTTTCAGTAAGGCCAAAGAATTTGAAAGAATACAATAAATTTTGTAAATAAAAATGGTGACAGCTCACCAAGATTACTAGGTGTAAATAGAAATACATATTATTTCCATAGCAAGGAAGATAAAACAGGAATGGTTAACTATATTTAGAGTTGGGCAAAATAAATAGATTTCCAACCTTAATTATTAAATGTTCATTTATATTACATGCAGTTCTCAGATTTTGCAAAACCACAACTGGCTTATGCAGACAAAACAAGGAAGAAAGGCAGAAAGGGATTTTTCCATTCTGCATTTTGCAAAGATGACTATGCTTTTAAGCAATTTGTGAGACTCCTCTGAATTTCTTATGATTCCACAGTTGAGAACCTAAAAGAGAACTCTTTTAGAGATAATGCAAAATAAGAAAGATTATAAATTTTGGGATTATTCCGATGCTGATGGTGCTTTTTCTTGTGATAAATCAACTGATTTAGCCACTTAACTGCTTACATATTTAGGCACTCTCAAAGTAAAATGTATTGATGTATTCTATGAGCTCGGTAATTTACATTTGTTTAGATTTTTCTCTGTACAAAGCTTTCCTTACTTTTTTTTTTTAGTGTGCTGATTAATTAATTAATGACTGAATTCTGGTATTATGGCTTGTAAAATACATTTCTGTGGCAGCTTTCCAGAGAAAAGCAAGTATGCGTTCAAGTTAGCTGTGCTAGAATATGCATGTGTTAATCAGTGGAAATACCTTTCTGCTAACCAAGCTGGAAATTTTTATAACAGTTATAATAGAAATTACTCTAGCTTCACCTCCCATTAACAAGAGAGAGATTAATGTGAGTGCTTTTCTCTTTTTCTCTTGTTAGCTCATAAGAAACCATTGCAGCATTCTACATTATTTTAATGTGTGTGTCATATATCTCCTCAATGGTTTATTTTATTTTATTGCTATGAAGATATGACTTCTAATGAAATGGTTGACATTCTTTATTACTCTCCTGGAGGATAAGACCAATAAAGGGATGACATTGTCCCAATATATTTTGTAAACATCCAATTTATTTTTGTATAAGAGGGGGCCACACTAATGTGCTACTGTAGCATATAAGTGGCACACGTAAAAAAGAGGTTTTTGATCATATGGCTATAGCATTTGTTGTTTCTTTTTTAACAGCCTCCCCACTTTTCTC